AGTATGTACGCACGTACTTGCGAACAAATTTAACTTTTTTTTGAGACGAATTTTTTTGTAGTAAATACTAATGCATGCATAATGAAGACACAAAAATTTTTTGATTAGTTGTATTGAATTAAATTTTTCTTAAACAATGTTTTATAAAATTGTCACTTGAAGCGCAATGATAAATTTATGATAACTTTTATTGAGAAAATTTTTATCATTAGATTTCTTGTACTATGATTATGCAAAATGTGTGTGTACGTAATGAACAATAATACTGTAATAATACTGTAATAATACTGTAATAATACTGTAATAATACTGTAATAATACTGTAATAATACTGTAATAATGCTGTATGATAGAAATTCTGATTGCACTACCCAAAAAAAATAAAGAAAATAAAGAAAATAAACGTTAAGATAAGAATAATAGTTTTAAAAAATTCACACATTTTTATGCGAATTTATTTATCATAAATAAATCATAAGAATGTTAAGTTTAAGAATCTCACGTTAAGAATCTCACGTTTTGTGAATCGTGGAATAATATAAGTTTAAAATTCAATACTACTTACTACTTTAAAAATTCAATACTAACTAAATTTTCGATGACTTCCTTAAATAGTCATGTGAGATTTGCACCACGTGAACGAAGTACATAGTAAATCTTCTTTACACGTACGTACTGTACGTACGTACAGTACATTACGTATACAGTTATGTGTGCATGCGTGAAAATAATAATTAAATAATGTCAAAAAAAGGAAATATAGATTAAATTATGTATTAGGTTACGTATAAATTTACATTAGTATCCCTTTATTATTATATTATTATTATTATACATGTACAATTTCATATTTCTAGATAATAATTATACGTAAGGAATTTTTTTTTCAAACTATAATAAGGGCTTTAAATTGATTGGTTACAATTATTAGTACTATTTAATAGAAATTTATAGAATATAAGTTATATTTTATTATTATTATGCAGTCATCCGAAACCGTATTACGTATAAACATGAAATCGGAATAATTTTATATATTACAGTATTATATATATATATATAATACATATATTCAATAAATATATATTCAGTGTATATAATATTCAATATACATACATATATATATATATATATTATCCCTTTGTGATAGCAAAATATGGCACTGCATATAATGTCAAGAGATAATATAGGATATATAGTCCGTGATATAAAGTTTTTTATTATGTGATATAATAGTATCACTACATATGAATATTTATTATGAATATTATACAATATATATATATTAACGATATTTAAAAGTTGTCGGAAAATTGATAAGCGGAAGGTATGACAAAGATACTGGTCGAAAGTTAAAAATAACACTAGAATATTATAGTTAAAGATCGTTCAAGAAAATCTTTGATTTATTTATGAATTTATATATATAACTTATTATTTTGGTCTCGTTATCGTTATCTTCACGTTATTCACTGTAACATACTATATATATATATATACATACATTGTGTATATCATCTCTGAATGAATTTGGCTAGCTCATTTTAATAGTCACGTTGTAAATAAATAAAATATTCTTTCTTAGTGTATAAAATATATAATCTAATAAACTATTTATAAAATAGCTATAAGATAGTTATAAAAATATTTAAATTGCCCTTTTTTTTTCCTACCCAAGAAGTTTAGTCTACCGGGTATTATTGTATTATTAAATTACCTACCACATTACTGAAACACTAATGAAATAAACCTTTAATAAAGTCTGTTAAATATTAATTAATTTATTAATGGTGTTTTGCGTCAAACTAATATGAGCGTCAGATTAAGTAACTATAATCCTACTCTTATCCTAGCATAGCTTTTCGCTCTAATGAAATTCAATATTTGAATTTTGATCTGATGCAAATCTTAATTTGACGCACAACAGTGTCACATATACCTTATCTTTGATCATCCAGATAATGGATTCAGTTACTATCTAAAATATCTAAAATATCTAGAATTTATGGGTAACATTTATATGATGTACTTCTGTATTTATGTTAATATTTATTATATATTATGCTTTTGACATTACGTATTCAATCGATATCGTTAAAATTCGACATTAATTCGACATTAATTTTCTAATTATCACTTAATAACTGTAACTTAACGTTTACTTAATGAGTTGTTATTGTTTCTATGTAAGATGATGTAAGTAAAAAATTATTATTATTATTTTATGATTATTAGTAATTAAATATTATATAAGTAGATGGCATTTAATCAAGACTTATGGTTTAAACACGTAATAATCATACTTACGTAATCTAGTAACAGTAATACCGCAGGTTTCTTTTTGCACTGTAAGTATTATAACGCTAATTCAAAGTTAAAAATTATGTTTACTTGTAAAACGTTATGTTTCAAAAATAATGCTTATATGATACATAATTTGTAACGTTTCTGGTCTTTGTCTTTTTTTTTTTTTTGTCTTTGTCTTTGTTCTTTTTTGTCATTGGTAATTATCGCGTCCATATTATTAAATAATTTATTACATAATGTAATAAATGAATGTGTCGATTACAAACGTACAAAAAACAGTTAACAACATTAAAGTACAATATACTTTAAAACAATGTGAATGATTGATTGATTGACATAAACACAATCCAGGAAAGTAACAAGTTATTTCGATCACGTACGTATTAGAAACTAGCTATCGCCAAATTAGTAAATATAAATTATTATTTAATAATAAAATTAAATATAAATATATATTTAAAACAAAAATATTTTAAGAGAAATAAAAAAAATAAATACATGCTTATTAGATTAGTCGGAATTAATATTTAACGAACATTGTAGGGTCTATTGGGTTTTATTATTTATATTCTACTATTTTTATTCATGCATTGTTTGTTTTAAATAATAATAATAATATCGATATGTAAAGAAACAAAACACGCACGCACGCACGCATAAACATAATGATTGCATAATCAAGCCACTTTTCTCGTTTAACTTTTAAAACTGGACTAGATCAGAGATTCACAATAATTAAAATAATAAATATATATATATATTATACATTATACATATACGTGTACGTGTACAAAGCATTATATTATATTATATAATGTATAATAATGTATTATATATAATGTATAATAATGTATTATATATAATGTATAATAATGTATAATATATAATGTATATTATGTATTTTTTTGGGACGGAACGCGTAATCCATGAGTGGACTTTAGTAATGAATTCAACGTGTAAATCATAAATAATAAACCTGTTGTATTAATTAGTAATACTGTTAATGCACGAACGTACAGTTTTTTTTTTTTAAATATGAAATTGGAAATTTGAAACAAAAAAATTGGGGAATCATTTCATATAGATAGAAAAAAAAAATAAATAGATTTATAATACAATTACATAATTTTAATATATATATATATAGAAAAGATTACTTTAAATTTGTTTTTTTTTTGTAATTTTTAATCTCGGTTTTTGTTCTTCCAATTTCTGATTGGAATTTTTGAGATTTAGGAATTGAAATTGATATAAAAAAAACAAACCTTCATCATTATCGATTATCGATTGATATGTATAATAGATATAAATTATGAATAAATTTGAATCATATGATTACTAATAATAAACGCGTTACGTTAATTATCTTGAAATATGTATTGTTAATACACGCTAATACAAAGATAAAAAATATATAAAAATGTATAAGAAATGTACGAGATATGTATGACACTGTGTATAACATGTATAACAATATATATCAACTGTATAATAATATATAACAAAAACAATGTAATATATGTAGTACGTATAACAGTGTTAATACGTATGTATGACACATGGACTCACGTCATTTTATCGGAATATATGTATTATATACCCGTTTATCTATTAATGCTAATTTTCAAACACGTGCGATAAGGTGCAATAAGGTGCAATAAGTATATGTTACGTTACATATTTTAGCTTATGTACGTATGTGTACGTAAGTACGTTATGTGTATATGTAAGTAAAGTAGTATGATGTGCTTGCTTATGTATTCTTTATATTCTCGTATTACAATAAATTTAAAATTAGTTTAAAATTATGTTGATCAACGAATTATAAACAAAAAAAATTTTTTTTGAACATATGATATGATGACGATGACAGAATAAATAAAATGGAAAACTAGGTATTTTAGTTAGAGTTTTAGAGTTCAATCGGTGTTTTGTTTCACACAAGTACTTATTGGTTTACGGGTGGCTGTTCCAAGTGTTTCAGAATAAAAAAAAAAAAAAAAAAAGTTTAAAAAAATTTTTCGTGTCATTATGCATTGTCTAATTCTGTAAAATTTATTTGACAACAATAAAAAATTTGGGACTAGTGATAGACCAAATGTGTTCACAATTAAACATAATGTACTTTATGTGCGATACACTTTTATTGCTCCATAGTGCACAACTTGAAAATCTATTAAGAAATGATCTACTCTAAAATCATAACACCAGCATAACACCAACATAATACCAATGATGTGGAATATCCCATGGTATTTGACGGGAATTTAAGGTTGTGCTAATTATAAATAATCCTCCTATCGGAGAAATAAAAATTATTCTAATAATAGAAAAATCATCTCATGCAGTATTACTAATATGGCTATAAGTATAAACTACGGTCGTCTCCGATTTATTTTTAACTCAAGCCTAACTTAAAATAGTTAACCTTTTTTAATATTGTGACTTTTGTGATGTATGCCATTTTTTTGTGTTCTTGTGATGTTTGAAATGTACGCCACTTTGTATTATTGTGATATATTTTAGTTTTCATACAATGAAACACTATCTATCTATCAAAGTTACGAGTGAAATTTGTAATTCATGTGATTTATTGTTATTGATTATAATTGATTGTGATTTATGATTATCATCTTTATTATATCATAATTATATACAGTATACACTACGTATATTATTAATTGATTAACCTTCTAATTCTTTCTAATTCTTTTGTTACTCAATAATATTGACTCCTTTTGAATGTTTTTAGAACGTGACTTTTTCTTAGTAATAACTATTTTATCAGAATCTATCAAAATAGGCGAATCTAAATCACTCTTGGATAATGTTTCAGTCATGATAAGGGGCTGTCTATCTTGAAAAGCTTTAAGGTCCGCGGCGAATAATACCTAACCAAAAAATAATTAAATTAAATTAATGGTTAAAAAAAAATGAATAGTCTAAATGATTTAAAAAAGATTTTGATTAAATGATTCAATTAATTTATGAATTTAATAATTTACCGAATGAGCCCAGCCACTATAATCTCCAAACAAATTCCGAAAATGATCTCCTATAGCTTCATATAACCGACTGGTTAATGTTTTGGTGACTGTTCCTTTTGTATTAAATCCATACTCCCGTTTAGCAATTTGCCAGACATGTGTGTCAATCGGAATTGCATTATGCTTATCTAAAGACATTAAACACTAAAAAAAATGTTTTCAATTCATATCGATAAATAAAGTTAATTAGATAATTTGAATAAACAAATAAATCAATTAAGTAATTAATTAATCAATTAATCATGTAAAAAATTAAATGAATTAATCATCAATATCCGACAAAAGATATGTAATAAAGAATGTAAAAGATGATGTAAACGATGATGTAAAAAATAATATAAATGTAATAAAGATAAATGTAAATGTAATAAAGATAAACGTAAATGTAATAAAGATAAATGTAAATGTAAGAAAGATAATATAAATGTAAGATAAAGGATGATGTAAAAAAAAAATGATAAAAAGATGATGTAAACACATGAGATAATGTAAGATGAATGATGATGTAAAAGATAATTATAAATGTAAGATAAAGGATAAAGGATGATATAAATGATGATGTAAAAAGATAAAATAAAAAAAATATAAACTACAAACCACACAATCGGCAACCTTCGGACCGACCTGATAAAAAAATTTGAATAAAGAAGTGAATAAAGTGTACTTGCACATGAAACACAAAAATAATGAAAAACACAAAAATAATGGAAAACACAAAAATAATGGAAAACAAAAATAATGAAAAACAAAGAATTACACCGGAAAGTTTCAATAGGGCAGAATGGGCCTCCTTATAATCCACATTTCGTAATGAATACAACCATTTTTCCCCATCGGAATAATTTTCCGTCAAATATTTTGCCGTTTGGGTAATATATTTTGCCCTGTAACCAAATCCTAGCTGTCGAAGTTCTAATTCAACGTTTGACGATGCAAGTTTGTCCAAAGTAGGAAAGTCATAATATTCTTGTCCATTTAAAGTATACACCAAATTACCATATCTATTACATAACCTCTCGATCTGGTAAAAAAAATACAAACAATTATTCGGATTAAATGACAAACCCGTCCCAAAAAAAAAAAAAAAAAAAAAACTTTTACCATTTGAGAAATCCGAATGATATTATTATTAGTAGAGCAAATAAAGCAGATCAAGTTTTCAACAGGATCCTGCCGTAATATTCTAATTCCTTTAAACTGACAAGCTATCTTGGCAAAATGTTTATCTGCCATGCTCCAGCGATCATAACATTCACGTAAGTTAATCTTTGGATTTAGGTTAAAATAATCCGTGAGAAATTTATCAATTAGTTCAAATTCACGTTCAATTTCACATTCATCGGAAGATTTTTTTGTTATAGGGAAATATGATTGATATTCTATGCCCGAATCTAAAAATATCAATTATAATATATATAATATATATTATATATATAAAATAATTAAATAGTATCAGTCTAAACTTTTATTATGCAATTCATTCAACTTTAGAATATAATAGGAATACTGTCCACCTTGTTTCTTTGTACAAAAATAAAACCGTTCATAAAGATAATGTATGATGTACCTGTTTGTCTCAGAGTAATAAACCTTCCTTTAAGAGCACAAGACCTTAATTATAAATCGATTCAATTTAAGGAAAATAATTAATATCTGTTTATATATTGTATATATATTGTATATATATGTTGTATATATATTGTTAATAATAAAGTTTTACGTATATTCTATTATTTATATTACTATTACTATTATTATTATTATTATTATTATTATTATTATTATTATTATTATTATTAAAGTTTACACTACATTGTATTTTGTATAACACATTTTTTTGAATATTTTATAATGTTTTTAAAGTTAAAGTTTTAATAGTTTTAATGAAAATAATAAAGTTGTTAGCATACCATTGACTTTCACCAGAAACTTTCCACCTAAACGCTTGACCACATTTCAACGTGGTGTCTAGTCTCAACTCTTCAGGTGGGACTTTTAGACTACGCCAGGCTGTCATATATTTCATGTTTGTCGTCATTTTTTTTTTTAGGGTAGGTCGTATAAGCCACGAGACTAGACAGGAGTTAGATAGAAGCAAGAGAGTTAACAAAGGAAAATGCTAAACCGGATCCTAAAGAAGAAAGTTTCACCGAAAATCTAGTGATTTGATAATCGGACTTTATCACCGGTTAAGTAACAGATAGATATATAAAATTTGATTAACCATACATTTTACTTTTATAACTCTTTGGTTTATTTTTAAAACATAAGCCACACGTGATTAAAGTGATTTAAGAGTGATTAATTTCAAGTTATATAACTTATGAAAATCTATTTTAAACACAAAATAACAGTAACACATTATATGAATTAATGAACTAACAATAGAAGCAATTCAAGTAAAATTCGTGTACTAATTCCCATGTTAAAAAAAATTTAAAAATAGAATTACCTTAATCAGAGTTATGTTAAAAGTAAACATGGTACAACAATAAATACGATGAACTTGTTCTTTACGCAGTATATGCATAAGTACTTTAAACATATAGACTTAACGATCTATCTATCATTTATATATTTATTTATGTAAGCTTTATAAAATAACTGTTTAAAACAATATAATTAATTATTTTTTTTACTGTAAATTTTTTTGAAAGATGTTATTAAATTACTAAGTCATTTTTTTGTATATATATAATCGAAAACAGCGCGATTTCTTTTTTC